CACTTATACTAAACGCTGGTCTTCAAAATATGGGTGTCTTGTTTTGTAATATCGCTGTGTTTTAGTCAAAGTTTACTGTCAGTCCGTCTGCAGATATCAAGCTAGTAGGCGGTGCCGCGACTGATACACCCCCTCGTACGGTTTCAGGTCCTGCAGGAGAAGTGCCGTTCCCTGAGGCCCGGGGACGACCCCTGGCTCACGTACACCTCTGCCGTTCACTTCGTGTCAGAAGAGCGGGTCAGGCTGTCAATGGCGCTCGACACCGTCATGAGAACGGACCCATCGCTCATGATCCTTGGCGAGGCAATCAAGACTAAGATAAAGCCCATCAAGGAAAACCCATTTGATACTTGTCTCTTGATATGCCACGAGCTGTTCCGTGTGATGCCCCGTTTTGAGGACGATCTGGTTCACCAACATAGCGATTCCATTAAGAACCTGTTTATCGCTCTTCAGGAATCCTTCTCTTTCCCAACGGACTCTTTCAAACCTAAGCTCAAGTTTAAATTGCAAAGTGACCTGACAGATTCTCAAAACATCGTACAGATGTGTCAGGACACAACTGACACTGTGCTCCAGCAGTGGAGGGAGTCCTGGGGCCCAGTTCTCTCTCTCCTCGAAGCGATCATCCACGTCCTGGGGGATGGGAACGGCGGGCGCGGCGACCACGCCGCAGTCACCGCGGGCGCCACGGTGACCAAGACGCGGGGCCAGACCAAGGCGGCGAGGCAGCTGCAGACGGACATCCAGGCCTTCTACGCCCAGTTCCCGGACCGCTTCACCTCCCTGGAGGCCTTGATGTGCGGCTTGCCGAGCAGGGCACGGTTCGCCAAGGAGTTCCCCGCCCTCCACGACGCCCTCACGGTGGCGCTCACGGCGCCCCTCCTGCCGCCGCGGGGCCAGCGCGCCCAGGACCAGCTCCACGCCGGCGCCCTCCGCGCTGCCACCCGCCCCTGGGCCCCCGGCACGAACCCGTGATTTACAGTGCCTTGCTCCTCGTGCCTGCAAGGCCATCACTTACAATTTGGGAATCTGTGATTTATGTTTTGTTTCACCATGACTCACGCAAAGACTGTTACTCCGTGATTGGATAATTTGAATTAAAGTACTTTGTATGTTACTTTATCGTTTGTGGGGATTAGGGCCAGATGGATTTCTAGTCTTTTTCCACAGTTGTAATTCCTTTTCTAAGTAAGATTTTTTTTCTGAGAATCCTCCTTTCCTTAGAAATTTTGCACTATCAAACTGTAGCAATTGCATTTTTTGTTTCCACTGTACAGTATCAAATTTGTGTTAATTTAGACATTAAAAATCATGTTAGTTAATAAAATCGTGCTGTTTCAAAATTTTAATTGTCCCGTTTCTCCAAAATTAAAATTGGTCCTTGGGAATGAAATCTCAAAACGAATGCAGACATGAATATGATTTATTTTAATCAAGAATTATTCAGAACACAGCACATCAAATTTTGACACATCAGTCTGTAGAAGTGTGGCAATTACGAACCAAAAATTTAGTGCTAAAATATGACAATGATTAACGATCTTCAATGTGTGTCTCACTTTGCAAACCACAAAGTAAATGATGAAAACAAGGAATGTACAATACAAAAAGGGGGCAAGTCCGGCCTACAGCTTGTAGCGCTCCTTCCTGGCTCTGTCGCGCTCCTCGTCGTCCTCGTTGCTGTGCAGCTTGGCCCTTTCCAGCATCTCTCGCAGCTCGCGCTCCGAGAGCCTCGACTCGCACTGCAGCGTCACGCTCGCCTGCTCCTTGGAGGACCTCTCCACGGCGGTCACGGTCAGCACGCCGCCCGCGTCCAGCGAGAAGGTCGTGTCGATGTCGATCTGGCCCTTGGGCCTGGCGGGCACGGCCAGGGTGAAGTCGCCCAGGATGTGGTTGTGCTCCCAGCGCGCCCGCTCGCCCTGGCACACCTTGATTTCGGCCTCTTCCTGGTTGTCGCTGGCCGTGGTGAAGGGCTTGGTGATCTTGTAAGGCAGCGGAGTGTTGCGGGGGATGAGGACGGCGACGAGCCCGTCGGAGGTGGCCACCCCCATCGAGAGCGACGTCACGTCCTTCATCACCACCTGCTTGGCGCCCGCCTGGCCCGTCAGCGAGGCTGCCCTGATGGCCGCGCCAAGCGCCACCGCCTCGTCGGGGTTGACGGACTTGTTGAGCTCCTTGTTGTCGAAGAACTCTTGCACCAAGCTGCGGATCTTGGGGATGCGGGTCGAGCCGCCCACCAGGACCACCTCGTCGATCTCGTCCTTGGTCACCTGTGAGCAAAAGGTGGGACGTTAGTCGCTGAAGAGGTCGGCGCACACCCCCGCCGAGGGGTGGTGGAGTGACACGAGGCGTACTACCCCCCCCCCCCCGAACAGAAAAACTGATGTACGCCCGAATTTATGTCGAAGTATCCCTCGGGCGACACCCCTGCACTGCTCACTGCTCTCACCTTGGCTTCACTGAGCACCTCGGGCAGGATGTTGATGGCCTTCCGGAACTGTGCGAGGCACAGGTCCTCGAAGAAGGCCCTGGTGATGTCCTTCCGGTAGCCCTTGCCGTACCGGTTGAGGAAGAGGTTGATGGTGGTCTGGGGCATGGTGGAGAGCTTGCGCTTGGCCAGCTCGCACGCCGCACGCAGCTCGTGCATGAGCTCGGGGTCGTCCTCGCGGTCCCTCTGAAGGTCGATGCCAAGGCTCTTCTTGATGTCCTGCGGGAGGACAAGTGCACGCACAGTGGTCAGCGCTAGACGCCGGGGAAATAAGACCGCCCCCCCCCCTCACCACACACACACCTCAATGACGTACTCCAGCAGCTGGGCGTCGAAGTCCTGTCCGCCGAGGTGGGTGTCCCCGCCGTGGGCCTTGATCTGATAGTTGTTGCTGCATATATGCAGCACGGTCACGTCGAACGTGCCGCCGCCCAGGTCGAAGATGAGCACGGTCTGCTCCCGGCCCTTGTCGAAGCCGAAGGCGATGGCGGCCGCAGTGGGTTCGTTGAGCAGCTCCAGCACCTCGAGACCCGCCAGCCTGGCTGCGGAGGGGCGGGGTGGTGAAAGGTGAGAGGTGGTGGTGCAACAGGTGACCGACAAGGCACGACGCGACCCTCGCGACCTTACCTGCCGACAGCGTCGCCTGTCGCTGCGAGTCGTTGAAGTAGGCGGGCACGGTGATGACGGCCTTCTCGACGGACCTCTCCAGACTGTCCTCAGCTGTCACCTTCATGGCCTTCAGAATTTTCGCCGATACCTGCCCGTCAAAGTGGATTGCAATTAAAAGGGGCGGGGCAACGGGGAAAATGGGGGGGGGGAGATATTCCATGCGTTGCAGCCTCTTTGGCCTTCGAGCTCTAGCTCCAACAAGATAAGGGGTAACAAGAAGGCATTCCCACACCAAAGACTTGCGAAAAAGAAGTGACACACACACAGAAGGTATTCCCTGATGCAGGCCTGCGGGGTCGGCCCGTCCGTGAAACCCACCTCTTCGGGCGTCAACATGGTCGGCAGGCCATCCCTTGTGATCTCGTACTTGGGCACGCCGCCGTCATTCATGACCTTGAACGGCCAGTGTTCAATGTCCCGCTGGACGACGTCATCCTCGAAACGGCGTCCGAGCAGCCGCTTGGAATCTGGAGAAAGAAACAAACCCCGCTCGGTAATTTTAGGGGTACTTATGGCATACCTCCCCCCTCCCCCCTCCGCACTCGGTTGACTCACCATAGAGTGTGTTCCTGTTGGCCAGCTCCTTGGCCGCCTCGCCGACGTACTCCTCGGCGTCGGTGAAGGACACGTACGACGGCGTGGTCCTCTTGCCAGCGTCGTTCTGGATGATCTCGCCCTTCCTCTTCCGGTAGACGGCCACCACGGAGAAGGTGGTGCCCAGGTCGATGCCGATCGCCGGCGAGATTTCGGGCGTCGGCATGCTGCACGCTCAGGTGGGGGTTGCGCCGACGAAACAAAATTGTCAACCGGAGAAAAACCTAGGTGGAAAAAAATGCACACTTTTATAAAGGGTCGGTTCTTCTTATAGGACTTTATAACTCGTTTGAGTAGACAGCAGAATTTGGGGGAACTGCACAAAAAGTCTTTAG